CCATTATTGACCCATTCTTCATCAAATCATATGGATTGATTTAGCAATGATGGAATTTCTATTTTGTTTACTGAATCACATGAAATTTGATCCACCCCATATATGGAATGTATGAAATGCATATGAACGGAGGAATAAAGACAATTTTATATTCAAATTGGAATTTGTAACAGATACAAAATCGAAAGGAATTAATAAATGTCACTTAGACTTATGGAGTTTTGGATAGAATATCAAAAAAAAAGTGATTCCATTTCTACCATTATTATGATATTACATATTCTAATCCGATTGGGTACCAGAAAAATAAATGGATTCGGTATTTAATCTGTTCGATGATATAAAGACATTATAATCATCAAAAATATAGAGTTGATCTTTTTTGAGCACTTAACTTTTTCATGGATTCTATTGTTCAACAAATGATTCGCATAAAAGAGAGATACTTTTACCTTTTTTTAGTAGAATACGATCGAAGGGCGTAATAGAGTAATAAAGTTTGTATTTATTAACCATGTGTAGATAGCTGTTTCCTCCTTTCTTGAAGTTCTATTCGGGACAGCGCGTGCTATGCTATATCAAAATTTCCATTTTCTATTCCATCTATTGAATGAAATATTGAAGCACTACAATTCACTGATAATTCTCTATAGGCATCATATATAGATAGGATATCCAATTAAATATTTGTATAACAATTTATGTTCTGGGGTTTACATATACTTCTATTTGATGTTATAATAGAAATTGGGAAGGATTTTTTTTATGGAAAAGAATCAATACTGATTAGTTATATATCAATTTGGATTGTCTTATATCATTAGGATTAAGAAAAGACAATTTTGGATTCAAATCCAAGAATCGTTCATGAATTTACAGTCACATTTAATAGTTAATGGTTCCAATTTGTCCTAAATTTTGGCTTTTGTGACTGAAAAACCACATTTGGTTTTTCAATTTTTCAATATCAATATAAAAAAGAGAGGGAAAATTTGTAAATATTTAGGTTTTGAGATACTATACATACAACCGAAGGGATGGATCCAATCCAAAAAACGAAGGATTTTTTTCTTTTCGGGCAAGGGTTAAATTTAAGAAAACGGGATTCAAGATGCAAGTCCAATAAAAAAAGAAGTTTAGGAATTCCCCACCCGACGCAAACAAAGGGAGACTTTTTTTTTCATCTATTTTGTAGGAGATCATACATTTTGGCGGCATGGCCGAGCGGTAAGGCGGGGGACTGCAAATCCTTTTTCCCCAGTTCAAATCCGGGTGTCGCCTGATCAAGAAAAAACTCGAAATCTCTTATTTCGTTTTGCTAATATAACTCGCTGAATTTTTCCCCAGCAGAAGCAAACAAAGTAAAAGGACTCTTGAGACTTGCTTGCTTGGTTCTAAACATCTGGAAGTTTGACTCTCGAAAGCTAAAGTGCTCTAAATCCTTGCCTCTAGGATTCAAGGACAGATTATAGTGGTGGAAGGTCTCTCATATAAAGATTTATTGATTCCCTTCCACTACTAATGTAGTGTTTAATTACCGGGTCCTGAATTAGATTGGATAGCCCGACGGAAAATCGAATTAGTGGTTGTGGAAAGGGCTGAAGATACTTTCTATACAGACTCAGGAGAGTCTCTAAGTCCTCGGTATCCAATAACAATTCGATGGAAAATTGGCTTTCTAAAATTGAAATGAAAAAATAAATTCTTTCTTTTCAATAAACCCTAGTCAAGAATGGAATAGGTGGTCCTCCGATTGTTTCACAGAGACAATCCTTAGACAGTAAGAATTAGATCAAATGGGAAATAAAAGTATGGGATAGATAACGATCTATCTTGACATTCTATTTTTCATATTTTTATACCTTTTCGAAAGATAAAGACAAGAAAAGATAGAATAGGTCTTATTATTCCTACATCTTAGGAAGATTTCCCTGATACTTCTAAATGAGTCACTGCGTATTTTGCTTGTGCTTAACGTTTTCCGATTCTACTAGAAAAATAATATCCTATAAGAATTTGAAGAATTTGTTATAAGCAGATTTATTAGAGCCTTTGATCAATGGTGTTGGGTCCGAATCCCTTTTTGACTCTACGCCAGTGATTCCACTATTATTATATTAGTGAACAATAATGGAATAATTCCTTCATAGAGATAGGGGACATAATTTACATGGATATAGTAAGTCTTGCTTGGGCTGCTTTAATGGTAGTCTTTACATTTTCTCTTTCACTCGTAGTATGGGGAAGAAGTGGACTCTAGAGGTACTACTAATTGAGGCGAGGAATCAAACTGTATCGATTGTTTTATAGATCGTTTTGCAAAGCCTTTTTCCTTTTTATTTGATTTTTATTTGTTTTTCTTTCCCTTTTTATTAAGATAAGAGAATAACGTTCTGTTATTATATTAAGTGGATACGTACCTTCTATGGGAAACAACATATACATAGTGGTTGTCCAAGGAGAGACTACGCATAATAAGATCTTCCCTTGGCAAGTCACATATTGCGCACTTACTTTACCACTTGTTTTTTTAGTTTAGAAATCTTATTTATGCTATACTTAGGCTTTATTGACTCATTTCATGGTTCAAGAGTTTAAATAAAATGGTGGGTTTTATTATTCCTTTTTGAAATCTGAAGAAATTTCCAGAGAACTTCTTGGATCATCTGTTAACTGCTCAATCAATTACTTCTTCGGAATGCTAAAAGAAAATTAATCGATTTTCATTTATTAATATACTGTATGCCGTACTCCCTTCGCCCATGGATTTGATTCTTTCGATGGATACAGGGATTCGTATTGAAAATAATTAGAAATCTGGGAATTCGAAGCGTACTATTAAGAATTGCCTTTCGATTGTTTTAGATTGATTGGAATCAAGACAAATTAAATAGATGAAGCAAAGAAATCGAATTGGGATGCTATGTACATTACATATATCAATACATATATCAAAAAGATACATATTGTAGATTAATCTATATTAAGCCTATATTATATATATTTTTATACAGTACAACTTGTTACATTACAATAAATTACAATAAGAATAATAAAATTACAATAAGAATAATAGCTAGTATGGTAGAAAGAAATATATGAATCTTTCTACCATACTATCGGATCTCATAGAATACTATACCGCTAATTCGAGTCCGCTCATTTCATTTAAGACGTGAGATGAAAATCCTTTTGATTTCTTCTATTTCTTCAATCATTGACTAAGAAAAGAAGTCAAGTTTGATTCAAATTAATCACTTTGACTGACTGTTTTTACGTATATTATAAGTAAAAAAGCAGTAGGAACTAGAATGAAGAGTGCAGTAGCAATAAATGCGAGAATATTTACTTCCATAATCTCATTGTTTTTTTTTATTTGGCAATAACTCGGGATTTAATCCCATAGAGATGATAAATCTTTCGCCTGTAAATTCAATGGGATGAATTACACCTTGATGATATTGAATCGGATCAATATCATGAATAACAATATCTGAGCTATCAAATCAATTCATCGTCGAGAATTGAATAGTATAACATAGGAAGATCTTTTATCCATACCGAATCCAAAATTGGATTCCCGATCCAACCCCTTTACTTTTCTTTTTTATTTTAATTTATCCTTCTTTTTCATTCTTCATTCTTGTTTTTTCTAACCTACCGCCTTCCTTGTACAATCATCTGATGACGTATCATTTGACCGCTCTTACGTTTCCATTGGTTACAAACCCAAACAAACAATAGAAGTAAAATAGAAAAGAAGGAGTTAAGTACTCTTTTTTAATGATTTAATTTTTGTGGAAAACAAAAAGAAATAAGTATGATAAAAAGAAACTGAGTCTTAAGGTATAAAAAAATCGAATATTCCATCACACTATTTTAGAGTTTGTTCTTTTTTCAACAGTACCCTTAAATAAAAAAAAATTATTCATCCCCTCTCTCTAAGGAGAGGTTGGATCTTTCTTTGATCTTTATTTTATTAATATATATCCTCTTTCTTTGGATTAAAAACGAAACGGGACGCATATATTAAAATAAAAGTTCAAAGTATTCTATCAAAGCAATTATGTGAAATTCATTTTGTATCGTACATCTATTTGTGCATGGGGTTCCCGGTAAATATATAGTACTCTATTCTATTACACGGATCAGGAGCAATTGAAAAAGCCAGACCCAGTATGGTATCGATATCTCTTGGAATCCTAAACTAAATAGGATACTACCAATAATCGTAGCAATCCACATATGTCTCTATCCCATCAATCAATACTGATTGATGGAATGGAAATTCTTCTATTTCTTTGATGAGAAATTCGAAACAAAAAAAGAAAAATAAGAGAAATCCAATCCCTGTTGGGAATGAAATTCGACTATTTTATTTGTATCTCTTTTCACATCCAAATGGAGAGATGAATTAATGTATTTTTTGTTGGATTTGATTCCGTCGGGACTGACGGGGCTCGAACCCGCAGCTTCCGCCTTGACAGGGCGGTGCTCTAACCAATTGAACTACAATCCCCAGGAAATAAAGTGTAGAGTATACATACTCTTATGATTGCATTTAAACCATTTCTTTTTCGATTCGAATCGCCGTGGTGCAAGGGTAACAGAGGCTTGAGTGATATATTGATATCTCCATGGATGGGTACTTTAGTGAGAGCGACACAGATTACTAATAATCCTTTTATTATAATCCTTTTATTACTGCCAAATCGGGTGATAATCAATCTTGAAATGAAAAAAAATTTCTTTTACTTACACTTTATACTTCGAGATCCTGATATTATGAAATTATATTTTTAGCAAAAAAAAAATAAGAATTTGTGCGAACAAATAAAAGAAATAGAACAGAGCAAATAAAGCGGTAGGGATATATCAGAAAATTGTACTTTTTTCTATTCTTTCGTTTCGTAGCCGGAATTATTTATGAAGAACAAATGGGCTATATCATTTCATGGTGGATCAGCGAATTCTTGGGCCGAGCTGGATTTGAACCAGCGTAGACATATTGCCAACGAATTTACAGTCCGTCCCCATTAACCGCTCGGGCATCGACCCAGGAAGAATCAATTCTAGGCTTATTGATAATCCATGATCAACTTCCTTTCGTAGTACCCTACCCCCAGGGGAAGTCGAATCCCCGCTGCCTCCTTGAAAGAGAGATGTCCTGAACCACTAGACGATGGGGGCATACTTGCCCGACCGCCATCATACTATATTATGCTCATGGTATAGTATGAACAGTTTTTTGAAATTGTCAATATAATGGAATGGTCTGACTAGACCCGAAAGATCTTTCTGTCTTTCAAAATTCCATAAAATTTTTGAATTCGTCATTTATATTCCTAAATCATTCATTCGAATCACCATTCTGTAAATAAATCTATTTGGAATTCTATAAAATAGAATGACTATTCTATGGATTCATTATTCAATTTAAATAGTAATTAAAACCGAAAATAAGAAAAAAAAATAAGAATTTTTGAATGAAATAAAAAGAAATAGAAGTAATACGAAGTAAGAATGCTTTCAGGAAGTGATTGGTCTGCCCGGAAAAGAAAAGGGGGTTAAACTCCAGTTCTTCCACTTTCATTCATTGATTCACTCCTTCTTCAGATGAGATAGAAGTATCTCTATCTCACAACAAGCTAGGAAATTAACAAACAACCGACCCATTTTGAAATCTGGGGAGGGGGATCAAGATCAAGAAGTTATCGAAATTTTTTCTTTAAGAATTTGTTTGATTCAGGGAACAAATTCAATTTCTTCATCATATGATTCGATCAAATATTTTGAATCTATGTCGAATTGGTAGATAATCTCAATCAAATGAATTTCGTTTTAATGGGAGTCAATTTATTAATTAATTAGGGTCAGCCTTGAAACAATTCATTGCATTGATATTTATCAAATCGAATTTTGACCCTATACTACCTAGGTAGGTCAAATTTTTCGTTACTGAATGAACCACACTAGCCATTCAGAGTCTACTGCATCGATTTCTATAGATAGAATCTATCGATAGAAATATCTATATAATATATATATATAGATAGATCTTATATGCATAGTAGGAACTGATTCAGGAATTGAATCAAATGGGCCCTTTTAACTCAGTGGTAGAGTAACGCCATGGTAAGGCGTAAGTCATCGGTTCAAATCCGATAAGGGGCTTTTTTTTTCATAAAACCCCATCGCTATTATTCATATAGGAATGAAAAATAGAGATATTGTTGATATTTGTAATAAAAAAAGGAACTAACTCTATAATCTTTATTAGGATAAGTTATCATTATCATGATTTATAGTAATTCTAGTTATAAAATAAAGTGGAACACTTGTTTATATTTATTATAATGAATAATGATAAGTCGTCTCTTGAATTGCCAAATATTCCTATTTTCCATTATTCCAATCAAATCTATTCTAAAAATTAGAAATCAACAAACAAAAGAAAAAGTAAGTAGACCTAGCCCATTGAATCATGACTATATCCACTATTCTGATATTCAAATTCGATAGAGATTAAATTGTAAGAGTGGATCTTTTTTTATTTCCTATTTATTTGGACTCCGCAAGAATCTGTCGATATTTCCGATTCCATTTTCTTGTTCCTAGGATATTGAAGAGGAATAAATTGATATTTCGTTCCTTCACAGAGAAAGGTTTATTCAAAGTCACAACACAAAAAAAAGCCTTTTTTTTTCAATATCTTTCTTTAATTCCAGAACACAAGATCCATTTCTTAAGATAGATCTATCAGATCTTCATGTACCAAATCCAAATATTTGGATATCGATACATACGATATCTTTTTTCCGACAATGGTATAGTGAAGAATGGATGTGAGAAAGATACGTTCATTTTGAGTCTCCTTTTTTTTAATTGTATTCTTTTTACAAAAATAGGAAATTCACTTCTCATTTTTTTCTGACAGATAAAAAATGAAATAATAGAAAAATATTAAAATTTTCTTTTTTGCTTCGAACCGCGAAAGATATATTCTGGAGTTTTCTATTCATCTGAAGTAAAAGGAAATATAATAAAAAAGACAATAAAAGAAAATGAAAGAATAAAAAAGAATAAAGTAATAAAATATGAAATATAGAATAGTAGAGTAGTTTAATACAATAGAAATGAATACATTGATTTTCTCAACTCACGACCAAGATCCAAGAATAAGATTAGTTGATCGACCAAGAGGAGGAAGTCTGTGGATCAACTGATATCGAGAGAAAGGATCCCTTTCTCCTTGAAAAATTCTTTCAAAAAATTTATCTATCTGATTGATGATTCATATTGATGATTCATAGGGTAATTCAAGGTTCAGATGCTTATTAAAAATAGGAACAAATAAAATAACCGAATTGATTTCATGGATTTACCTAGTTCAGGTTATGGACCAAGAAAGGTTTTTTTATCTTCGAAACCCATTAGAATTAAAGAGGGCCGTGTACGAGAAATCAAATCATATATAAATGATCGAATCCTCAAACGCCC